CTCGTCCTGCCTTCGGGCGCTTTGGAGAATAGCTTGACTCCCTCTTCTTTGGGGCAGCCCCTGAGATATTGGCTCACGGCTATCATGTCATCCCTCTTCCTCCTCTTCATTAAACAACATATTTTCTGTCAAGTGCCGGAGAAATCGGGAGAGTCAAGCAGTTCAAATGAGCATAAAGGTTTATTGCAAACTTAAGCGCTCTACAAAAATCTGAGCTACTAACAGTCAAGTAGCTCAAAAATCTGAGCTACTAATAGAAGGCTTAATTAAGGTGGGCTGGATTTATATTAAGGTGGGCCTGGTGAGTTGTGATGCATTTGACCAGGGGTCCTCAAACGTGGCCACCTAAAGACTTGTGGACTTCAACTCCCAGAATTCCCCAGCCAGCTATGCTGGCTGGGGAATTCTGGGAGTTGAAGTCCACAAGTTTTAAAGTGGCCATGTTTGAGGACCCCTGCGTTTGACCCTCGGGCTCAGCCTGCTCATCCCCTCTGTACAATATTCTGTCCTTGCAATCATCAGAGGTCACCTACCCAGCGCAAAGTATCACGGATCCTGTTGGCAAAAGCGCCTTTTGGGGACCCCTCTTCCTCCATCCAAGTGAGACTTTGAAGAGCCACGGCCGTCTCACACTGACTTCCGTCTCCCTTCGCTGGCACTCCTGGCAGACCGGAAGCCCAGCTTGGCGGTCTCCGGACCGCCCGTCTTTTAAGAGTCTCCCTTAAAATTGACCCCCTGCAGCAAGAGCTTAGGATGTTTACAGGCTTTGCTGACTTTCCAGGCGGATTTTGGCATGGGGAAGGGGTTCCCCTGAATAGTCTGCAAGGCCTGCCAAATTGGTAGTCACCCCCCCCCCACCCCTCCTGACTGAAACCTGCTTCTTGAACATTTTCCAGGACGGCCAGGAGGTGGGCTGGCCGGCCTAGTCAGGAGAGGGCTCCCCCATGCCGAAACGGCCTTGAAAAGTCACGTTGTGGTAAGTAAGAGCTACTAACAGGAACCAGGGGGCTGGGGGCAGCAGGAGGGTGGGGGGGAGTGAAACAAAGAGGGCAGGAGATTTGTTCCAGACTTGGCTGAGTGTGGCCAGCTTTGATCAAGAAAGGAAGCAGGAATCGTACGCAAGCGTCGGGCCAAAAGCAGAACCGTCTCTGAAATGTAGGGACGAGCCTGCAGGCAGAATCATGAGGGCGTCTGCAGCGCCTTTGCAAACTAATCAGTGAAAAGGCCGAGGCTTTTGTGAAGGTGTTGTTGGTTACCAAAAAAAGGGGGGAGGGCAATACTCGTAGCTCAGGGTCAAACTGTGGGGTTTTTTTTTTGGGTGATCTCACAGAGCTGGGTGTTTTTGCAGACGTTTTGTGACCCAGCTAGGGAACATCATCAGTGCTAGAAGGGAAGAGGAGCAGAACAGGAAGGAAGGAAGGAAGGAAGGAAGGAAGGAAGGAAGGAAGGAAGGAAGGAAGGAAGGAAGGAAGGAAGGAAGGAAGGAAAGATTGTGGGGTCCTTGGTGTTCTCTGAGCTGGGTGGTTTTTTTGCAGACATTTCATGACCCAACTAGGGAACATTATCAGTGCTAGAAGGGAGGAGAGAGGAGGAAGGAAGGAAGGAAGGAAGGAAGGAAGGAAGGAAGGAAGGAAGGAAGGAAGGAAGGAGAAAGAAAGAAAGAAAGAAAGAAAGAAAGAAAGAAAGAAAGAAAGAAAGAAAGAAAGAAAGAAAGAAAGAAAGAAAGAAAGAAAGACTGTGGAGTCCTTGCTGCTCTCTGAGCTGGCTGGTTTCCTTGTAGACGTTTCATGACCCAACTAGGGAACATCATCAGTGGTAGAAGGGAGGGGTTGTTCTCTATTGATATTCAGTGACTTGCCCAGTCAGCATTGGTGGGAGTGTAACTGTTGGTTCCTGGTTTAAACTGTTGTTTACTGTTGAGTCCTGTGTGCTGTCTGAGCTGGGTGGTTTCCTTCCAGACCTTTCATGCCCCAACTAAGGAATATCCTCAGTGCTAGAAGGGGGGGGGGGTTGTGGAGAGGAGGAGGAGGAATTTTGGTGCTCTCTGAGCGTGGCTGTTTTGTTGCAGACGTTTCATGACCCAACTAGGGAACATCATCCGTGCTAGAAGGGAGAGGGGTTTGCGGAGTGAAAGAGGGAGGAGTGCCTTGCCCTGTCAGTCTTGGCGGGAGTGGTCTTGGTGGTCCCTTGATAAGGCTGTGGTTTACTGTTATTGATTATTTGTCTGAACTGGTACTTCTTTGATAGGGGGTAGCACTGACAGGGCAAGCTACAATGCATATAAGCAGAGCAAAGCCCCGTCACTTGTTGGGTCAGGAAACGTCTGCAAGAAAAAAACACCAAGCTCAGAGAGCACCAAGGACCCCACAGTCCTTCCTTCCTTCCTTCCTTCCTTCCTTCCTTCCTTCCTTCCTTCTAGCACTGATGATGTTCCCTAGTTGGGTCATGAAACATCTACAAGAAAACCACCCAGCTCAGAGAGCACCTAGGAACCCACAGTCCTTCCTTCCTTCCTTCCCTCCCTCCCTCCTTCCTTCCTTCCGTCCTTCTTCCTTCCTCCTCCTCTTCCTCCTTCTCCTCCCTTTTAGCACTAATGATGTTGCCTAGCTGGGTCATGAAATGTCTGCAAGAAAACCACCCAGCTCAGAGAGCACCAAGGACCCCACAGTCCTTTTCCTCCCCCCCCCACTCCTCCTCCTCATTGTCATCCTCCCTTTTAGCACTGATGATGTTGCCTAGTTGGGTCATGAAACGTCTGCAAGAAAACCACCCAGCTCAGAGAGCCCCAAGGACCCCATATTCCTCCTCCTCCTCCTCAACTCCACTCCATCCTAACACAGATAATGTTTATAACTTGGGCAATCTCTTTCTTAATGGCACTGCCAATATTCTGGAGTTTCCGAGAGTGAGGTGGGACATAAATTTAACAAATTTGGCTTCCTTATCATGCATTTCCCAAAGACGAGATCGTCTTCAGTCGAATCTCTGGGCAGGTGGAAATGCACTGGGCTTAGTTAGCCCTTCTTTGAAGTCCTGACTTCAGGCCTCCGTCGGCTCATCTTTTTACAGGAACTTTTTGTCTTCTGTAGGATCCAGAATGGTCTTTCCTGGTGTCCAATGATACAACTTTAGAGGCTGTATCTTTTGTGCGAAGTGGTTGGGGCTGGGAGGATGATGTTGTTGGTCTGGGTGTGTGGGCCTAGAAGACTCTTGAGTTTATAGCAAGTTTGCTTCCTGGGTTAACAACATGGCCGGGTTTATTCTACCTGTTGGAATCTTCCACTTGTTGGAAATATTCTCTTTTGTTAGAAGTTGCTTCGGATGCTACCAGATTCCTCCTGATTTTTGGCTCCTGCAGGTCTTTGGAAGCAGCAGACCCACAGATAAGGAGTCAGCCCCCACTGCCTTTCTCTCCTTGGGGGTCAGACCTGGAAGACCTCCAAGGCCCCTTCCAGGCCTATGGTTCCATTATATTATGTTCTACTCTATTCTACTTCTTCTCTCCTGTCCTCTTCTCCAATCCTATCCTCCTTCCTTCCTTCTTTTCTCCATCCTTTCTTTTTCTCTTTTGCTCTACTATTCTGTTCTGCTCTGTTCTGTAATTCTGTCCTATTTCTATTCGATTCTATTCCATATTTTCTATTCTATTCTATTCTGTATTTCTTTTCTATTCTATTCTACTCTACTCTATTCCATTCTATTCCTATTCTATTCTATTCCATTCCATTCCATTCCATATTTTCTATTCTATTCCATTCCATTCCATTCTATTCCATTCCATATTTTCTGTTCTATTCTATTCTATTCCATATTTTCTATTCTATTCTATTCCATTCCATTCCATTCCATTCTATTCCATTCCATATTTTCTATTCTATTCTATTCCATTCCATTCTATTCCATTCCATATTTTCTATTCTATTCTATTCCATATTTTCTATTCTATTCTATTCTATTTTATTCCATTCCATTCTATTCCATTCCATATTTTCTATTCTATTCTATTCCATTCCATTCCATTCTATTCCATATTTTCTATTCTATTCCATTCCATTCCATTCCATATTTTCTATTCTATTCTATTCCATATTTTCTATTCTATTCTATTCCATTCCATTCCATTCTATTCCATATTTTCTATTCTATTCCATTCCATTCCATTCTATTCCATTCCATATTTTCTATTCTATTCCATTCCATTCCATTCCATATTTTCTATTCTATTCTATTCTATTCTGTATTTCTATTCTACTCTACTCTATTCTTCATTTTTCTCTTCTCTTCTCCCTTCTTCTCCAGCCTTCCTTTTTCTCCTTTGATCTGTTGTCCTTCCCCCTTCTGTCGTTTCCTACTCCACTCCACTCTACTCCACCCTGTTCTTGGTCTTTCAGCCTTGAGTCCTCCTCCTCCGCTGAAGAGAGCCTTCCTGTGTGGTGGACTTGGCACCCCCTCTGCCTCCACCCTTACCCATGAGCCCCCACATGCTGGTCTGTTCCGTGACCTTGATTGCAGGTCTGCTGGCTTTCCCGTCAGCATCAAAGCAGTTGGGGAGGGGAGCCTCTCCTCGCCAGCCCCTCCTTTGTGGGCTGGTGCGCCTCCCTTTCCCCCCCCCCCCCAGGTCCCTTTCTGGCTCATTCAGTCTCCATCCTCCTCTCCTGTTTCCCTGGCAACTCTAAGTGCACATCCTGGAAAACTTTATCCGAAATCTGCTCCTGGGCAGCTCTCCAAATCCATGCTAACCTGATTAGGTACCTCTGGGGCCCTTGCTGGCTAATCAAATTAGGCGGCGCTAATGGCAGCCAGGACTCTGAGTGGGCAGAGAGCAGTAAAACATAGTGTATACTTAGTGATAATTATCCTGGCTGTTGTGTCATTGATTTATATGCCATTCCCTTTTGTGTTTTTGTGTTTTTTTTTTTTTATGTGCCCAGATTTATAACCCACCCACCCCCCTCTTTCTTTGTTTTTTTGTTTTGTTTTGTTTTTTTTCCACTGGGCAGCCATCCGGAGAAAGGAAAATGGATGGTACGATGAAGAACACCCGCTGGTCTTCCTCTTCCTGGGATCTTCGGGAATAGGTAACGCGGAGGGAAGGTGCTTCGCAGCCGTCCGGAGCCTTCGCCGCCGGATGGGGCTGCGGAGGGATAAAGAAGAAAAATGGGGGCAGAGGAAGCCACTGAGAGCTCACTCTGAGCGTGGCTGGTCTCTGGCGGACATTTCATGGCCCAAAGTACAGGACACTGATGAGGTGACCCAGTTTGGGTAACGAAACGTTTGCAAGAAAAGAGTCCAGCTCAGAGAACACCAAGGACCCCACAGTCCTCCTCCTCCCCCTCCTCCTCCTCCCCCTCCTCCCTTTCTAGCACTGATGATATCTCCTAGTTGGGTCATGAAACGTCTGCAAGAAAACCAGCCAGCTCAGAGAGCACCAAGGACCCCACAGTCTGTCCCTCCTTCCTTCCTTCCTTCCTTCCTTCCTTCCTTCCTTCCTTCCTTCCTTCCTTCCTTCCTTCCTTCCTTCCTTTTCCTTCCTTCCTTCCTTCCTTCCTTCCTTCCTTCCTTCCTTCCTTCCTTCCTTCCTTCCAGCACTGATGATGCTCCCTAGTTGGGTCATGAAACGTCTGCAAGAAAACCACCCAGCTCAGAGAACACCAAGGACCCCATAGTCCGTCCTTCCTTCCTTCCTTCCTTCCTTCCTTCCTTCATTCATTCATTCATTCATTCATTCATTCATTCACTGATAATGTTCCCTAGTTGGGACATGAAATATCTACAAGAAAGCCACCCAGCTCAGAGAACACCAAGGACCCCACAGTCCGTCCGTCCTTCCTTCCTTCCTTCCTTCCTTCCTTCCTTCCTTCCTTCCTTCCTTCCTTCCTTCCTTCCTTCCTTCCCTCCTTCCTTCCTTCCTCCATTCATTCATTCATTCATTCATTCACTGATAATGTTCCCTAGTTAGGTCATGAAACATCTACAAGAAAACCACCAAGCTCAGAGAACACCAAGGACCCCACAGTCCTCCTCCCCCCCCTCTTCTATGCAAACCCCTCTCCTTTCTGATACATGCTGGCTGAGGAATTCTGGGAGTTGAAGTCCACAAGTCATCAAAGGGCCAAGTGTGAAGACCCCTGGCCTCAGCTATCTGACAGACTTCAACTCCCAGCATTCCCCAGCCAGCACGGCTGGCCTTCCACTAAGAATTCTCTAGCCTGCCCACTAGAATTTGAGGTCCACGGATCTTGAAAGTTACCAAGGTGGGAAAACCAATTTAAAAGCTGGAATGTGCTCCTGACGGTGCTGGAAAAAAAAAAAAAAAGCAGCAAAGAAGTATCGAGTTTTTTTATCATTTTATTGTTTTTAATTTTTATACTTGTAGAATTGTAAACCTCCCAGAGTTACTTGGTTAAAGTGAGCGGCTGTAGAAATAATAAAAAGAAATTAAAAGAAAAGAAAAGAAATGAAATTCTCTGCTCTGGATGTTCCCCTCTAGAGCTGGTAGATAGATGGATAACTTCTGGGGTGGTTTTTTTTTTTTTTTTTTCCTGAATTGTTGTATTATGACCTGTTTGTACATTGTTGTTTATAGACTGCTTAGAGTCAAATAACTAGAGTAGGGAAAAAAACACCTCCTAATCAATAAATAGTAAATAAATCTCCAAGGTGCTTTTACCTTGGGGACCGAGACACACCTGGTCAGGAACAGCTCTTGTGAGCTGCTCTGCCTGTTGGTCCATATGATCAGGAGGCTCAAGGCTAAAACATACAAGGAACGGCTGCTGGAATTGGGTATGTCTAGTTTAATGAAGAGAAGGACGAGGGGGGACATGATAGCAGCGTTCCAGTATCTCAGGGGCTGCCCCAAAGAAGAGGAAGTCAAGCTATCCTCCAAAGCCCCTGAAGGCAGGACAAGAAGCAACGAGTGGAAACTCATCAAGGAGAAAAGCAACCTAGAACTAAGGAGAAACTTCCTGACAGTGAGAACAATTAACCAGTGGAACAACCTGCCTCCAGAAGCAGTAAATGCTCCAACCCTGGAAGTTTTTAAGAAGAAACTGGACAGCCATTTGTCTGGAATGGTATAGGGTTTCCTGCCTGAGCAGGGGGTTGGACTAGATGACCTCCAAGGTCCCTTCCAACTTTATCATCATTATTACTATAAAATAGATTTGTTTTGCAGTATACATTTTGAATGATTCATTGTCTCGTGCCCAGACATTTATGACCAGAGTTGTATATAAATCCAGTAAACAAAGGAAATTGTGACCTAGAACTAAGGAGAAACTTCCTGACAGTGAGATCAATTAACCAGTGGAACTACCTGCCTGCAGAAGTGGTGGATGCTCCAACACTGGAGGTTTTTAAGAAGAGACTGGACAGCCATTTGTCTGAAATAGTGTAGAGTTTCCTGCCTGAGCAGGGGGTTGGACTCAGTGACCTCCAAGGTCCCTTCCAACATTATTATTATTATTATTATTATTATTATTATTATTATTATTATTATTATTAAGATCAGTGCAGTAGGGAAAGCTGGGTCTTAAACCAGCATTCCTGGTCTGAGCCATTTGCGACCTTCCCAGCTAGCTTCCAAGGGGGAAAGCCGCGTTTGCTTAAGAACCCCGTGATTCACTTAACAACCGTGCCAGAAAAAGGTCACAAAATCTGGTGCATAACATAAGGTAACAACTGCCTTGCTTATCGGTGGGAATTGTAGTCCCACTTGTGGTGGTTAAGAGGAGGGTTGCCTGTATTGTGTCGTCTTTAAGGGAGCCTTTCTCCTCTGAACGTCTGCCGGTCTTGCCTCCTGAACAGGTAAAACTGAGCTGGCGAAGCAAACGGCCAAGTACCTGCACAAAGACGTCAAAAAGGTAAGAGCTCCAGCTGGGGATTCTGTGCAGGCCGAGAACAGCTGTAGAATCAGAGTCCCTCAGCCTGGGCCCCTAAGACTTGTGGACTTCAACTCCCAGAATTCCATGCTGGCTGAGGAAACTGACCTAAAGTCACCCAGCCAGCTTTCATGGCTAAGGCAGGACTAGAGGACTAGGACTCCCCGTCTCCTGGTGATTGGCCCAAAGTCACTTAGTTGTCTTTTGTGCCTAAGGCGGGACTAGAACTCCCAGTCTCCTGGTGATTGGTCCAAAGTCACCAGTCAGCTTCTATGCCTAAGGTAGGACTAGAACTCCCCGTCTCCTGGTGATTGGCCCAGAGTCACCAGCTGTCTTTCGTGTGTAAGGCGGGACTGGAACTCCCAGACTCCTGGTGATTGGCCCAGAGTCACCCAGCCGTCTTTCGTGCCTAAGGCGGGACTGGAACTCCCAGTCTCCTGGTGATTGGCCCAAAATCACCTAGTTCTCTTTTGTGCCTAAGGCGGGACTGGAACTCATCATCTCCTGGTGATTGGCCCAAAGTCACCCAGTTATCTTTCGTGCCTAAGGCGGGACTGGAACTCCCACTCTCCTGGTGATTGGCCCAAAGTCACCCAGTTGTCTTTCGTGCCTAAGGCGGGACTAGAACTCCCAGTCTCCTGTTTCTAGCCTAGCGCCTTCACCACCAGACCAATCTGGCAACAATTCTGAGACCTGCTGACTTGCCACCGCTGCCCTCAGATGCCAGTGGCCTTGGGTGGACTGACGGGCAGCATATAATTTAAACAGATAAGCAGAAAGATAAAATAGGGAAAAGGTGAGTATCTTCTTGACCGTCTTAGAAAGCCAGAATCCGCCCTTCTGCCTTTATGTGTCTGTTACCTACTTAGTTGGCTGCACCAGGCGTCCCCCTACTTGGCCAGGGAGAGCCTGGCAGTGGGGACCATCCTTCAACTTGGGTGAATGCAACCTATTAGATCAGAGGCTGTCCTTGAAGGATTGTCGTGTACACCCACCGCGGTCGTTAAATTAGTAACCCAGTTGTTAAGTGAATCTGGGCAGGTTGCTGACGTGACCTCAGCACGCTACGACCGTCGTAAATAGGAGTCAGTTGCCAAGTGTCTGAATTTTGATCGTGGGGATGCTGCAAAGGCCGTCACTGTGAAAAATGGTCGTTTAATGTCACAGTTTTCAATGCCGTCGTAACTTTGAACAGCCACCAAAGGAACTGTTGCAAGTTGAGGACCACAGTAATGCGAAAGACGAGAGTTTTATCGCTGGGAATGGAAATTTAGTCGCCTTTCTCAGGAAACCCTGACAGGGGTTGTCATTAAGGCCACGTTCTTCCTTTCTTTAGGGTGATTGGGAAAAAATAGGAAATCCGAAACTTAATTTGTCAAATAGAACAGCCGAGTATTAAAACTATTTGAGTGTTCGCAAGCATACCAAGAAATATATCGGCTCCCTCCACGAGCGAAGAATGTAAATTATGAGCAGAATAAAACACAAGCCAACAAAATGCTAAATTAAAGCCCCCGCCGTCTGTCGAAGTGAAATAATGCTTCTGTGGGATGCCTAGGTTATTACTCGTGGGAAAAACGCCAGTTTGCTTGGTGAGAAGAGGTCTTTCCACTGGAATGGAAAGCAAAGCTCATTTTTCCCTCTAAGAGTGCCTGGATTTTCAGTCTGGCAACAGGTAGAAACATCTGATTCTCAAAATACCATCAATAATAATAATAATAATAATGACTCGATAAGTAGACAAAATGCCAAATCCAGTCTGAACATCTGGCTGACTGTGCGATGATCCATAATAATAATAATAATAAAGTTGGAAGGGACCTTGGAGATCATTAGTCCAACCCCCTGCTCAGGCAGGAAACCCTATACTATTTCAGACAAATGACTGTCCAGTCTCTTCTTAAAAACTTCCAGTGTTGGAGCATTCACCGCTTCTGGAGGCAGGTGGTTCCACTGGTTAATTGTTCTAACTGTCAGGAAGTTTCTCCTTAGTTCCAAGTTGCTTCTTTCCTTGATGAGTTTCCATCTGTTACTTCTTTGTCCTGCCTTCAGAGGCTTTGGAGAATAGCTTGACTCCCTCTTCTTTGGGTAACCCCTGAGATACTGGAAGACTGCTATCCTGTCCCCCCTCGTCCTTCTCTTCATTAAACTTAATATACCCAATTCCAGCAACCGTTCCTTGTATGTTTTAGCCTCCAGTCCCCTAATCATCTCTGTTGCTCTCCTCTGCCCTCTTTCTGGAGTCTCCACATCTTTTTTACATCGTGGTGACCAAAACTGGATGCCGTATTCCAAGTGTGGCCTTACCAAGGCCTTGTAAAGTGGTAGTAACCTTTCACGTGATCTTGAGTCTCTCCCTCTGTTAATGCAGCCAAGCACTGTTCAGATTCAGGTCCTCCAAGGGATAAGAGGGCCACCCACCTTTTCCTATCAGCAGGATCTGGACCAATGTGACCCCTGAAACCCAGATGGGGCATCTCAGTCAGAGGCACCCACCCAGGTTCCAGGAGTATAGGTAGTTCATTTAGTGACCGTTCGATGTTACAACAGCCCTGAAAAAAAGCGACACATAACGGCTGTTGCCCCGTGGGTCACGAGACTCAAATTTCAATGCTTGGCAACTGACTCGTATTTATAATGGCCGCAGTGTCCTGGGGTCTCCTTTTGTGATGTTCCGACGAGCCAGATGGATGGATGGATGGTAACTGTGTTTATTATCTTCAACTTTCCTTGGCTTTGCAGGCCTGCAAAGGTCATCAACGCAAGGATGAGTTGCTGGATTACTTTCCCGTCACCATCGTAGCTGCCACTAAATGAGACAAGACACTCAGCGAAGCCTGCGAGACAGAGACAGATTGGTTCTAGGATAGGATAGGACAGTTTTGATCCCTGAGACAGCTCTTTGTTGTTGTTGTTAATTGCGAAGTCGTGTCCGACCCATCGCGATCCCATGGACAACGTTCCTCCAGGTCTTCCTGTCCTCTGCCATCTTCTGGAGTCCATTTAAGTTCACACCTACTGCTTCAGGGACTCCATCCAGCCACCTCATTCTCTGTCTTCTATTGCCCTCAATCTTTCCCAGCATCAGGCCCTTCTCCAGTGAGTCCTTCCTTCTCATTAGGTGGCCAAAGTAGTTGAGTTTCCACTTCAGGATCTGGCCTTCTCAAGAGCAGTCAGGGTTGATCTCTTCTAGGACTGACCAGTTGGATCACCTTGCAGTCCAGGGGACTCGCAGGAGTCTTCACCAGCACCAGAATTCAAAGGCCTCCATTCTTTGGCGCTCAGCCTTTCTTACGGTCCAACTTTCACAGCCATACATTGCAACTGGGAAAACCATGGCCTTGACTGTACGCCCTTTTGTTGGCAGGGTGATGTCTGAGACAGCTCAGTTTCCTTCTTATTTCAGCGCACCTGGTCTAGGAGCGCTTCAGGGAACGGATAGGCAAATGAAGACTCAATCATCCGGGCCAAAGGTATCCAAAAAGGTGAAATCGTGGCAACTGGACCCAAGTTTATTAAAACTTGAGACCTTTCGTTAACTCATCCGAGTAACTTCTTCAGTCAAAATGGAAATGTGGGGTGGACGGAGAGTCAAAGAGGCATCAGAATGGACTAACTCTTACCATACCGACTGGGGGGGGGGTGTTTCCTCCCCAAAATGAAAAAGCAGTGAAAATTCCCACGATGGTGAGTCTCTGCCTGCCCAAAGTTTTCAGTTTGACCGAAGAAGCTACTTGGGCGAGTCAACGAAACACCTCAATTTTGATCCATTTGGGCCCAGTTGCCATGGTAGTCTTAACTTTTCTAGATATTCAGGGAAGTAGTTTTGCGTACGGCGTCAGCCAAAAAGCCATTCTTAAGGCCAAAGGTGCCTGTTTGGTGTAGGACAGTATTTCTCAACCTTGACCATTTTAAGGCATGTGGACTCCAACTCCCAGAATTCCACAGCCAGCATTGCTGGCTGTGGAATTCTGGGAGTTGGAGTCCACATGCCTTAAAATGGTCAAGGTTGAGAAACACAGATGTAGGAGGACGTGAGTTGTGGATCCCTCAAGGAGGCCACGGGCCTTGACCAGCCTCCTTGTAGATAGACACCTGTTTCATCTTCAGAAAGGGCAAAATGTCACACACACACACACACACACACACACACACACCGCCAAACTGTGTAGGGAGTGCTTCCCTCCCCTTTAACAAGTGTCTTGAGCAATTTTGATCAACCTCTCTTAACTCTCCTTTGCTTCTTTCCTCAGCAGGGGTTTATTCGCTTGGACATGTCGGAGTTTCAAGAGAGACACGAGGTGAGGAAGAGGGGGGGGTGGGCGTTTCTGCCCCCTCAATCAGTTGCCATCCTTTGCAGACCCCAAAGACCACCCTCACTTTCGCCGTCCCCGAAGCGAACTCTTCCCCCAAGGGGTTGGCTTCGTTCCTCTAGGCCTGCGTTGCTCAAATTTCCTGCTGTTGGCCAGTCTCAGTAGGACATTTGTAGCCCAGGGTTCAACCGTAGTGGCCTTGTTGCTCTCTGAGCTTTGTCGTTTGCTTGAAGACATTGCATGACCCGACTAGGGAACGTCATCAAAGGGGAGGAGGAAGGAGGAGGTTTCTCGCAGACATTTCAGGACCCGACTAGCGAGCATCATCCATGCTAGAAGGGAGTGGATAGGAAACTGTAGGACAGTGTTTCTCAAGCTTGGCAACTTTACGATGTGTGGACTTCAACTCCCAAAATTCTCCAGCTAGCAATGCTAGCTGGAGAATTCTGGGAGTTGAAGTCCACACATCGTAAAGTTGCCAAGGTTGAGAAACACTGCTGTAGGTGAAGGAGCACTTCCCATCTTCTAGGTAGGTCCTTCTCCAACCCTATCCAGATGTGTGTAGGTTGAGCCTCAGAGACAGTGCTTCTCAACATAACTTCCCAAGAACAAATATATGTAATTGGGACCGTTGTATAATTCAGCCGTGGTGGCGCAGTGGTTAGAAGGCGGAACTGCAGGCTACTTCTGCTGGCTGCCATGAATTCGGCAGTTCGATCCCGACGAAGTTGAAGGTAGAACTCGGCCTTCCATCCTTCCGAAGCGGGTAAAATGAGGACCCAGATGGTTGGGGGGGCAACTGGCTGACTCTGTAAACGGCTTAGAGAGGGCTGGAAGCGAACTGAGAAGCGGTCTGTAAGTCTAAGAGCTGTTGCTACTGCGATCAGGGCTGGGCTGGTTCTGTTCCAAATATGGCCGGCCTCTCTTCAACTTGTGCGTCCGGAGCAGCATCCTTACTCTGAAGCCCAGAAGGCTGGATGATGTAACTCTGGGGGTCTCTTGCAGGTGGCCAAGTTCATTGGTTCCCCCCCAGGCTACATTGGTCATGACGAAGGGGGGCAGCTCACAAAGAAGCTGAAGCAGTGCCCCAACGCCGTGGTCCTCTTTGATGAGGTGGACAAAGCCCACCCAGATGTCCTAACCATCATGCTGCAGCTCTTCGATGAAGTAAGATCCGTCGCCTTGGGATTGTTCGGGGTTCCAGGTCACTCATTCGTTCATAGATTCATTTGTTCTGGGTTTTAGGTCCATCCATCCATCCATTCCTTCATTCTGGGTTCCAATTCATTCATTCATTTGTTCTGGATTCCAGGTCCATCCATTCATCCATCCATTCATTCACTCCTTCATTCTGGTTCCAGTTCATTCATTCATTTGTTCTGGATTCCAGGTCCATCCATCCATTCATTCATTCACTCACTCACTCCTTCATTCTGGGTTCCAATTCATTCATTCATTTGTTCTGGATTCCAGGTCCATCCATTCATCCATCCATTCATTCACTCCTTCATTCTGGTTCCAGTTCATTCATTCATTTGTTCTGGATTCCAGGTCCATCCATCCATTCATTCATTCACTCACTCACTCCTTCATTCTGGGTTCCAATTCATTCATTCATTTGTTCTGGATTCCAGGTCATTTATTCATTCATTTGTTCTGGGTTCCAGCTCATTCACTTCTTCATTCATTCTGGACTCTCCAACTTTGGCAATTTGTGGACTTCAGCTCCCAGAATTCCTCAAGCCAGCATGTCTGGCTGAGAAATTCTGGGAGTTGAAACTACCACAAATCTTAAAGTTGCCAAGGATGGACGCCTCTTCCCCAAAGCACCTGAGGGCCGGACGAGAAGCAACAGGTAGAAACTAATCAAGGAGAGAAGCAGCCTAGAACTGAGGAGGAATTTCCTGAAAGCGAAAACAATGAATCAGTGGAACGACTTGCCACCAGAGGTTGTGGGTACTCCATCGCTGGAGGTCCTCAAGAAGACACTGGACAATCATTCATTGGAGGGGTTGGACTAGAAGACCTCCAAGGTCCCTTCCAACTCTGATTTTCTGTTGTTCTGTTAAGCTGAACCCATAGACCAGGGGAAGTCAACCTTGGCTCTTTTATGACTCGTGGACTTCAACTCCCAGAATTCCTGAGCCAGCCATGCTGAGGGGAAAGGGAGGTTTTCAAGCTGAGCCAGGCTGGCTCAGGAATTCTGGGAATTGAAGTACACGAGTCATGAAGGGGCCAAAGTTTCCCCATGCTGGCTCAGGAATTCTGGGAGTTGAAGTCCACGAGTCATGAAGGGGCCATAGTTCCCCCATGCTGGCTCAGGAATTCTGGGAGTTGAAGTCCACAAGTCATGAAGGGGCCATAGTTTCCTTCATGCTGGCTGAGGAATTCTGGGAGTTGAAGTCCACCAGTCATGAAGGGGCCATAGTTCCCCCATGCTGGCTCAGGAATTCTGGGAGTTGAAGTCCACAAGTCATGAAGGGGCCATAGTTTCCTTCATGCTGGCTGAGGAATTCTGGGAGTTGAAGTCCACGAGTCATGAAGGGGCCATAGTTCCCCCATGCTGGCTCAGGGATTCTGGGAGTTGAAGTCCACAAGTCATGAAGGGGCCATAGTTTCCTTCATGCTGGCTGAGGAATTCTGGGAGTTGAAGTCCACCAGTCATGAAGGGGCCATAGTTCCCCCATGCTGGCTCAGGAATTCTGGGAGCTGAAGTCCACAAGTCATGAAGGGGCCATAGTTCCCCCATGCTGGCTCAGGAATTCTGGGAGTTGAAGTCCATGAATCATAAAAGAGCTCAGGTGGCCTACCCCTGTCATAGAAGCTTCCCGCTCTCCACACCCTAACACCTCCCCCTCCAAAAACGCTCATAAAATCAGGTCAGCCATGTGGACGACCTACTTTATGACCGTCATGACTTGCATCTCTAACGAGGCCGGCATGCCCAGCCGTGTCACTTGAGTGCCAGGCGGCTTTCTGCACCCAGCTGGGCCAGGGGAGGCATCCACCCCCACCCCACCCCCTGAACCCACCAGCCTCCACGAGGTGTCTCCCACCCCTCAGCCTCCTGGAAAAATGGCCGCGTCCTCGGCGGTGCCTTTTCAGATTTCTGTTTGTTTGGGGTGGGTTTTGTGTTTTGTTGGGTTTTTTCTCCCCCCTATTCCCCAGGATTAATAACCGTGGTATTTTTCTTGCATAGATCACGGTGGCAGCCGCTAAATGCGAAATCAATTCCTGCACTGCCGGCCTGACAGAGCAATAACCGAAATGTTAATCCCCAGCTCTGACACAAATGTGTGTCGTTCGTTCGGCTGGACAGGAGCGCTCCTGGCGACACTTAGAAAGGGGAGGGGGGAGCAGGCCTCCCTCCTCTACCCCCCATTCTGTGTCCTCCTTGCTCCTCTTCGCCCTTCTCCTCCTCCTCCTTCTCCTCCTCCACCCTTACAAACCATCCGTATTTTTAAAAGGCCCTTAAATTTAGCATTCTCGGAGGGGAGAACCGGGGATCCCTGCAGAGGACAGCCCCCCCCCCGCCTTGCCCCAAAGTCCAGGATCGGTCTCCCTTCTGGGTGGGGGCCCTTCGGGTCCCGGGTCAGACCCCGAAGGCCAGGCGGTTCCTGGGGGGGGGGCTTTCGTTCGCCCGGAGCAAAAAATCAGGTCATCCTTGAGACTCAACGACCACAGCGCAGCCCCCAATTCCTGTCCCACAGTGAGTTTTTGCCCCATTTTGCGATCTCTCTTGCCACAGTCGTTAAGCCGGTCGCCGCAGTTCTTAAGTGAGAGGCACCGTCGTTAAGCGAATCCGGCTTCCCCCATTGCTAGTCAGGACGTGAACCCCCGGGACACTGCAACCCGTCGTAAATACGAGACAGTTGCCGAGCGTCTGGATTTTGATTGCGTGACCCTGGGGGGCGCTGGAACTGTCCTAAGTGTGAAAAACGGTCCTAAGTCCCTTTTTCCAGTGCCGTTGTAACCGAGCGGTCACTAAACGAGCAGTCGTAAGTCAAGAAGCAGCTGCGCTGCCCCTATCCTTAGTGTAGCTGGGCCCACCGAAAGCGGTCCCAACGGAAGAGCCGTCCTCCCAGAAATGACATGGGGCAACTCACCGCAGTTCGTTTAGTGACTGTCTGAAGTTACAACTTTACTAAAAAATTGACTTATGACCGTTTTTCCTATGACTGTTGCAGCCTCCCCAGGGGTCACGTGATCAGTATTTGGACGCTTGGCAACTGACTTGTGTTTATGACAGACGCAGTGTCCCGGGGGGGGGGAGAGGTTTCATGTGATCCCCTTTCGCAACTGTCTGACAAGCAAAGTCGGTGAGGAAGCCAGAAGTGGGTTACTGATTCCATGGTGGTCATAAGTAGAGGACTTCCTGTGCCACAAGCTCCGGGGTGATGAGTGAACTGAGGGTGTTGTGCCGTTCCCTCAAGCCTGTTTCAAGGGGTCTGAGCAGACTCCCCTATTGGGGTCCCTGTTGCTCTCTGAGCTGGCTTTCTCCTTGCAGACGTCTCATGACCCAACTAGGCAACCTCATCAGTGCTACAGGTGGGGGGAGACCGGGCGGTCCTTGATGCTCTCTTAGGTTTGGTTCGCTTTTTTGCAGAGGTTTAGAATTAGAATCACGGTGTGGGAAGGGGCTGTGGAGATCTTCTAGTCCAGGGGTAGGCAACCTTGGCCCCTTCATGACTGGTGGACTTCAATTCCCAGAATTCCTCAGCCAGCATGGGGGAAATATGGCCCCTTCATGACTGGTGGACTTCAACTCCCAGAATTCCTCAGCCAGCATCGGGGAAATATGGCCCCTTCATGACTCGTGGACTTCAACTCCCAGAATTCCTGAGCCAGCATGGGGGAAACTTTGGCCCCTTCATGACTCGTGGACTTCAACTCCCAGAATTCCTGAGCCAGCATGGGGAACTATGGCCCCTTCATGACTCGTGGACTTCAACTCCCAGAATTCCTGAGCCAGCATGGCTCAGCTTGGAAACCTCTCCCCTTCCCCTCAGCACAGCTGGCTCAGGAATTCTGGGAGTTGAAGTCCACGAGTCATAAAAGAGCCATGGTTGCCTACCCCTGGCCTAGGCCTAGGCCGCTTTATGACTCGTGGACTTCAACTCCCAGAATTCCTGAGCCAGCATGGGGGAACGATGGTCCCTTCATGACTCGTGGACTTCAACTCCCAGAATTCCTGAGCCAGCATGGGGGAACTATGGCCCCCTTCATGACTCGTGGACTTCAACTCCCAGAATTCCTGAGCCAGCATGGGGGAAAGTTTGGCCCCCTCATGACTCGTGGACTTCAACTCCCAGAATTCCTGAGCCAGCATGGGGGAACGATGGCCCCTTCATGACTCGTGGACTTCAACTCCCAGAATTCCTCAGCCAGCATGGGAGAACTATGGCCCCTTCATGATTCGTGGACTTCAACTCCCAGAATTCCTCAGCCAGCATGAGGGAAACTGGCCCCTTCATGACTTGTGGACTTCAACTCCCAGAATTCCTCAGCCAGCATGAGGGAAACTATGGCCCCTTCATGACTTATGGACTTCAACTCCCAGAATTCCTGAGCCAGCATGAGGGAACTTTGGCCCCTTCATGACTCGTGTACTTCAACTCCCAGAATTCTTGAGCCTGCCTGGCTCAGCTTGGAAACCTCTCCCCTTCCCCTCAGCATGGCTGGCTCAGGAATTCTGGGAGTTGAAGTCCACGAGTCATAAAAGAGCCAAGGTTGCCTACCCCTGGCCTAAACCATTTTAGACAAATAGCTGTCCAGTCTCTACTTGAAAGCCTCCTGCAACATCTGGTGGCAAGCTGTTCCACTGGTTAATTATTCTAACTGTCAGGAACTTAGTTCCAGGTTGCTTCTCTCCTTGATGAGTTTCCATCTGCTGCTCCTTGCCCGGCCTTCTTCAGGGGCTTTGGAGAAGAGCTTCATCAATGCTGGAAGGGAGGGAGGGGGGTTCGCTGTCTGCTCGTATCCCAGGGCCTGGGGGCTTCTCTCCGGCCTGACGAGGCTTATGTCCGTTTCCCGTGTCTCGGGAAGGGCCGGCTGACCGATGGGAAGGGGAAGACCATTGACTGCAAGGACGCCATCTTCATCATGACCTCCAACGTGGCCAGCGACGAGATCGCCCAGCATGCTTTGGAGCTGAGGGAAGACGCCGCGGAGCTGAGCCGGAAGAGGATCGCCGAAAAGCTAGGTGGGTACCTCTTCCTCCCTCCCTCCCTCCCTCTCCAGCAGCCTCCTTACTCTGAGTAGACCCCGGAACCCCTGGAGACCGCGCAGGGCAATCCTGTGCCGTCCGCCATCTTCCTTCCTGCACCTACGACCACAGTGGAGCCCAACATTTCGGTTGCTAAGCGAGACGTTTGTCAAGTGAATTTTGCTCCGTTTTACGACCTTCCTTGCCACAGCTGTTAAACGAATCACGGCAGTTGTTAAGATGGTGACAGGGTTGTTCAGTGAATCTGGCCCCCCTCCATTGACTTGGCTTGTCAGAAGGTTGCAAAAAGGGGTCATGTGACACGCCCCCGGGACGCTGTCGTAAATACGAGTCCGTTGCCAAGCATCTGAATTTTGATCGTGTGACTCTGGGAGATGCTGCCACGGTCGTAAGTGTGAAAAACGGTCATAAGTCTCCTTTTTCAGGGCCGTTGTAACTTCGAACGGTCAGTAACTGAACTGTTGTAAGTAGAGGACTAATTGTAGTGCAGGTCTGTCATCCTTACTCTGGCCACAGGATTGCCCAGTCAGCCTTTCAAGCAACAGAGGGGGTCTCTAGAATGGATGGGTGGATGGACTGATGAATGGAAGAGAAGAGAAGAGAATAGGACAGAACAGAACAGAACAACAGAACAGAACAGAACAGAATAGAATAGAATAGAAAATATGGAATGGAATAGAATAGAATAGAATAGAATAGAATAGAATAGAATAGAATAGAATAGAATAGAATAGAATCTTAAAGGGACCTTGGAGGTCTTCTAGTCCAGCCCTCCCGCTCAAGCAGGAGAACCTATATCATCTCAAATAAGTGACTGACTGTCCAGCCTCTTCTTAAAAACCTCCAGTGATGGAGCGCCCACGATTTCTGGTGGCCAGCTGTTCCACTGGTTAATTGTCCTCCCTGTCAGGAAGTTTCTCCTTAATTCCAGGTTGATTCTCTCCTTGATCAGTTTCCAACCATTGTTTCTTATCCTTCCATCTGGTACTTTGGAGAATAATGTGACCCCCCCCCCTTCTTTGTGGCAGCCCCTCAAATACTGGAACTCTGCTATCATGTCACCCCTATTTCTTCTTTTTTCTAGACTAGCCAAACCCAAGTCCCGCAACCGTTCTTCGTATGTTTTAGTCTCCAGGCCTTGGATCATCTTAGTTGCTCTTCTCTGAACTTTTTCCAAGGTCTCAACATCTTTTTTGTAGTATGGTGACCAAAACTGGTTGCAGTACTCCAGGTGTGGCCTTACTAAAGCTTTATAAATTGGTAGTAATACTTCGCGTGATCTTGATTCTATGCCTCTGTTTATACAACCCAGGATTGTGTTAGCTTTTTTGATAGATGCATGGATAGTTGGAGGGGTGGATGGACGGATGGATGGATGGATGAACAGATGCCAGCCAGCCCTTTCCCCACCCCCAGGAAACCCCCCCCTCCCCACTTCTTAAGTGCTGTGTTTTGGGTACCCATCAGCTCTGCTTTTGTCTTCCAGATGACGTGCAGGTGACGGACAAGATAACCATCTCCAAGCAGTTCAAGGAGAACGTGATCCGTCCCATCCTCAAGGTACAGATGGTGCTGTTTACAGCCCTGGGCCCGAGTTCCAGAAATGGGAGCCGGGGGGGGGGGTGTTTTCTTTCTCCTCCTGCTTCAGCCACCAGCTGGATCCAGAGGTCTCGGCTAAGTGGCCCCACAGGTTGGCCGTTTTCTAGCTAACCCCGAATCCCAGGCTGGTATCTTCACCTTAGGATGGTTGGATTTATGCCAGGAAACCTACTCCCACCCCTCTGGGTTTAATGCAGGGCTTAGCAGAATAACAAGAGTCGGAAGGGACCTTAGAGGTCATTTAGTCCAACCCCCTGCTCAAGCAGGAGACTTCGTAGCAGGGCTGAGCATCCGTGGCCCCTTTAAGACCCGTGGACTTCAATTCCTGGCTGGCTGAGGAATTCTGGGAGTTGAAGTCCACAGGTTATAAAAGGGGCCACGGAGGCCCAGCCTTGCCCTCTGCAGGTGTAGTCCTCGACTTAACGACCCAGCATTTTGGTTGGCTAAGCAAAACTTTTCTGAAGCCAATTTGCCCCATTTTACGACTTTTCTCGCCCCAGTTAATAAGTGAATCACTGCAGTTCTTAAGTTAGTAACACCGTTGTTAAGCGAATCTGGCTTCCACATCGGCTTTGCTTATCAGAAGGTCGCAAAAGGGGATCACGTGACCCCAGGACACGGCGACCATTGTAAGTACGAGCCAGTCGCCAGGCGGCTGGATTTTGATCACGTGGCCCTGGGGACGCTGCGACGGTCATAAGTACGGTCCTGTCACTTTTTTTCAGTGCTGTAACTTCAAATGGTCGCTAAGTCGAGGACCACCTGTACGATTCTGGAGAAATGGCTGTCCGATCTCTTCTTAGAACCCCCCACCCAGAACTTCACAAGGGGCTCTGGTCAGTTTCACCCAGACCAAGGCAGTAACTGGGGAGGGGGGGCATCTTGACAGAGCCATTAACTCATGGAACTCCTTGCCTCCAGAAGTTGTGAGTGCTCCGACACCGGGACTTTTAAAGAAGAGACCGGACAGCCATTTGTCTGAAACGGTATGGGGGTTTCCTACCTGAGCAGGGGGTTGGACTAGATGACCTCCAGGGTCCCTTCCCACTCTGTGATTCTGTCATTTTGTAAGGGGGTTTGGATTAGAAACGAAGTCCCCAACCTTTGGGGCACCAGGGACCGGTTCCGCAGAGAGAGGTTTTTCCGGAGACCAGAGGGTGCGTGGTTTTGTGTGCTGCCTGCATCTTGCAATGGGACTTTGCTTGTTTGTGTGGACTGATTGCTGGCATGCTTCGGCCCAGTACGGGTCCATGGACTGGGGGTTGGGGACTCCTGGACTAGATGACCTCCAAGGTCCCTTCCAACTCAATGGTTCCGCTATCTCAGTGGTTCTCAGCCTGTGGGCTGGGACCCCATTTGGGGTCGAACGACCATTTCACGGGGGTCACCAAACAACGCAGTCCGCCATTTTTTCCCCCCTTTTCCTTAGCTGTGCTACTCCCTTTTCTTCTATTGGCTTTGGAAAGCCAATAGAACAGACTCTCTTGAATAGAGTAATTCTATTGGCTTTCAAAAGCCAATAGGAATTGTCCAGGCTGTCTCTGCCCTGCTGAGCCCGCCAAAAGTCCCATTCTGCAAAACACCAGTTGAGTAGTCCTCGACTTACGACCGGTTGAGTAGTCCTCGACTTACGACCGGTTGGGGGTTACGGCATTAAAAAGGTTGAGAACCATTGAGCTATTTGCTTCAATTTATTTAATTTGTACGCCACCTATCCCGCTCCCCAGAGCCATTTTATCCCCCTTCGCAGCCATTTCCAAAGGTACCCCCTTGGAGAGGGTGCAACAGAGGGGTCTGTGCCAGCCCACCCCACCCACCCATCTTCAGCGCTTCTCCCTTCTCCTCCCTCCCACCCCAGGCTCACTTTCGGCGGGACGAGTTCCTGGGCAGGATCAACGAGATCGTCTACTTCCTCCCGTTTTGCCAGTCAGAGCTGATCCAGCTGGTCAACAAGGAGCTGAGTTTCTGGGCCAAGCGGGTGAGCCCTGCCAGCCTCTCCCTGGCTTACCTCCCCTCGGCTCCCTCTTCCCTGCACAGAGTCCTTCACTTACGACCGTTCGTTTAGCGACCGGTCGAAGCCACAATGGCACCGAAAAAAAGGGATTTATCTTTTTCACACACTTACAACCATTGCCGCCTCCCCATGGCCACGGGATTGGCCACTGACTCGTATTCATGACGGTGGCACGGTGGCAGGGTCACCTCGCCACCCTTTGCGACCTTCCTGGCCAGCTTCTGAAAGCAAAAACAATGGGGTGGGGGAGGAGGAGGAGATGGATTCGCTTAACGGCCACACAATTTGGTCCACAACTGCCGCGATCCGTGGCAGAAAGTCTCGTGAAATCGGACATGGCTCACTTAACAACTTGCTTAGCCACAGAAATGTTTGCAGTCGTAGGTCAAGGATCCCCCGTGCTCTTCCTAAGCATCTTTGTGCCGTCACGCCAGCCTGCCCCACCCTCTCCGACAGGGAAGGCAGGTTGCACACTTGATAAGTTAGGGAACTGGGTGGGAGGGGGATTTCCAGGAAGAAGGTCTTCTCTGCCATTGCACCTACCTTGTGTAACACTGTGCCCCCCCCACCTCCTGAGATGGGGGGGGGACATTTCTCTGGGCCTTCCCGAAAGGAATTAAAACAGACGTCTCTGGAGACTCTCCGTCATCCCAAAGATGCTTTTTCACGAGGCAACTGGACTTTCCTGATTTTCCTTGAAGACGTTTCGCTTCTCATCCAAGAAGCTTCTTCAGCTCTGACTGGATGGTGGAGGAACGGAAGGATTTATACTCCTTGCAGACCGCTGGTCATTTGCAATCTTTCAGAGGGTAAATCTCCAGGTGGCCTCAACGACCCTCTGAAAGAAGGCAAATGACCAGTTTTCCTGCAAGGAGTATAAATCCTTCCATTCCTCCACCATCTAGTCAGAGCTGAAGAAGCTTCCGGGACGAGAAGTGAAACGTCTTCAAAGAAAAACCAAGACAGTCCAGCTGCCTCCTGAAAGAAGCACCTTTGGGACAATTAAAACAGACCTGGCCATTTTATTGGCCCTGGCCCACCTTTGGCCCTGTGGCTGTCCCTGTCCATCCTGTTTGAGGTCAGTTGGAAATTAGAAATCAGATGTAAATACATATACGCCAGGCATGCAATGCCACCTCATTGCTTTCATTTTGAAGGCAATAAGCACATTTGCCCAACATGCTAGCAGGGGTAGGCAACCTTGGCCCTTTTATGACTCGTGGACTCCAACTCCCAGAATTCCTGAGCCAGCCATGCTGAGGGGAAAGGGAGAGGTTTCCAAGCTGAGCCAGGCTGGCTGAGGAATTCTGGGAGTTGAAGTCCACCAGTCATGAAGGGGCCATAGTTCCCCCTTGCTGGCTCAGGAATTCTGGGAGTTGAAGTCCATGAGTCATGAGGGGGCCATAGTTCCCTCATGCTGGCTCAGGAATTCTGGGAGTTGAAGTCCAGGAGTCCTGAAGGGGCCATAGTTCCCTCATGCTGGCTCAGGAATTCTGGGAGTTGAAGTCCACGAGTCATGAAGGGACCATAATTCCCCCATGCTGGCTGAGGAATTCTGGGAATTGAAGTCCACGAGTCATGAAGGGGCCCAGGTTGCCGACCCCTGAGCTCCAGTGTGCCTCATCCAAGAGGCAGAGAGAGCGGAATCCTCTGCTGATGAAAAGCTCCGATCCAGAAAGCCCCCTATTGGAAGATTCCCTGATTGCTGCTCCTTCCTCCCCCTGCAGGCCAAAGCAAGGCACAACATCACTCTGGTGTGGGACAGGGAGGTGATGGACGTGCTGGCTGACGGCTACAACCTGCACTACGGCGCCCGCTCCATCAAGCACGAGGTGAGCTGAGACCGGCTTTCTTTTCTCTCCGGGGGGGCCCCCCTGGAGCTGAGGGGCAAGACCCCCACCCATTGCTTCTTCCTCTTTTTTTTCTTCTTTTGTTTTCTTTTGCGTTGAGCTCATTGTTCACTTTTCCCCAAAGGTTCTGCCCCAGAAACTTTTGGAAAAAATAAATAAATGTTTATTTATATCCCACTTTTTTAAAAAAAAAATAACTCAAGGCAGCAGACGTACCTAATATACCCTTCCTCTTCCTTTTTTCCCCCACATTAACAATCCTGCGAGGTGGGCAGGGCTGAGAAAAAGAGAGGGGTTGGCCCAAAGTCGCCCAACCAATTTTTCTGATAAGGCAGGACTAGAACTCACCGTTTCATGGTGATTGGTCCAAAATCATCCAATTGGCTTTCATGCTTAAGATGGAACTAGAACTCACCGTCTCCTGGTGATTGGACCAAAGTCACCCAGCCAGCTTCCGTGCCTAAAGAGAGACTAGAACTCACTGTCTCCTGGAGATTGGCCCAAAGTCACCCAGCCAGCTTCAATGTATAAGGCAGGACTCCTGGGGATTGGCCCAAAATCATCCAATTGGCTTTCATGCCTAAGGCGGGACTAGAACTCACTGTCTCCTGGGGATTGGACCAAAGTCACCCAGTTGTCTTTCATGCCAAAGGTGGGACTAGAACTCACCGTCTCCTGGTGATTGATCCAAAATCATCCAATTGGCTTTCATGCTTAAGGTGGGGCTAGAACTCACCATCTCCTGGTGATTGGCTCAAAGTCACCCAGCCGTCTTTCATGCCTAAGGCGGGACTAGAACTCACCGTCTCCTGGTGATTGGACCAAAGTCACCCAGTTGTCTTTCATGCTTACACGGAGACTAGAACTCACCGTCTCCTGGGGATTGGCCCAAAGCCACCCAGCCAGCTTCAATGTCTAAGGCAGGACTAGAACTCACCGTCTCCTGGGGATTGGCCCAAAATCATCCAGTTGGCTTTCATATGCCAATCAAGACTAGAACCTCGCTGGTTTTCTAGCTTTCCCAGCTGCTGCAGGGACTTAATAAGCAAAAGAAAGCGTCTTTCAAATCAATTTGCAAGGATACGCAAGGACCGTCTGCCAGTTTCCTACCAGGCGGGGTTCCACTGCATTGCGGATATGAATTAGCACCCCTCCCTCCTGTAAATTCTGAACAGAAACCCCAGCTGAAGGGCCCCCCGTCGCTTGCTTGCTTTTGTGTTTTTCCCCTGAAATCTGAGATTTGGGGTCGTGCTGGCTGATGTCCCTCTGGAAAACGCAGCCTGCGCAGCCGTTATCGGCCCCAGAGGTGGCTGCCTGCAGTGCCCGATTTCCCTCTTGGCCAGGTCGAGCGCCGGGTGGTGAACCAGCTCGCCGCGGCCTACGAACAGAACCTCCTGCCCCACGGCTGCACCTTGAGGATCACGGTGGACGACTCCGACAAGCAGCTGCTCAAGGCCAGAGGCCAGGACAGGCCCCTGCCCGCCGAGGGCCAGCGGAAGTGCCCCACGCTGCGCCTGGAGATCCTGGAGGACAGCAAAAGCCGGAAGCTGGACATCCAGGCCCCGCTGATGCCGGACGAAGCCTCCTACCCCTCCTAGGCGCCAGCCCCACGGTGCCCCCAGGGCAGCGCCTGGCAGAACGAGAGTTGGTAATAAAGCGATCGTAAGACATAGATACGTCTGCGGGGGGAGGGCAACTTTCTCTGGAGGGCAGCAGGAAGGGCGGCCCTCCGCCCCCCAGGGACTGCCTGGGTGCATGGGAGTTGTAGTCCAATGCAGCCGGAGGGGGTCTCAAAAGGAAGAAGAGTCCCAGAAAGAGGGGCGTCCGTCTAGGATGGTCCCATAGAGTCCGTGGGAAGATTCAATCCGGGGTCCTTATCATGTCTCAGGTATGGGGGTGATTCCTTGTCCCATCAGCCAGGTTGAGTGCCTAATCTCTGCCCCGGATGCTCTTCTGCCTTGTAAATTGGGCTGGGGGGGGTGGGGGGGCGGTGGCGTGGAGGTTGTTTCCAGCCCCCGCGGCCCTAGAGAGAGATTTAAGTTATTGCAGTTGTGTTGGAATAAATGCAGTTTATGTCTCCGTGGTGTCCCTTGTCCTTTGGGTCCTCAAAAAGCCGCTGCCAGCTCTCAAGTCAAGGGGGGGGCAGGGGCTTATGGGTCCCTGGATCGCTGCTTTCTTATCCACCAGTAGCGTCCTCTTCTGGAAATAACAGGTAGTCCATGGGGTCGCGATGGGTCGAACACGACTTCGCAATTAACAACAACAACAAAACCCCTGGATCATTAAATAGCTTTATCGAAGCCCATCCTAACTCTGAACGGTCGTTAAGCGGCTGATCATAAGTTGAGGACTGCCTGTAAAGGCGATGGTGGGAGAACTCTTATTTGCCGACCTTTTAAAAGGTAGTCCTCGCCTTATGACCACAATTGACTCCCAAATTTCTGCAGGACGGTTCTTAAGTGAGCTTTGCCTGGCTTTACGACTTTTCTTGTCGGCGTCATTAAGTGAATCGCTGCAGTTACACGGTTGTTAAGTGAATCCAGCTTCCCCCTTTGACTTTGGTCGCGAAGGGGGGGATCGCATGAAGCCAGAAGCCTGCAGCGGTTATAAATCTTGAGTCATTTGTCAAGCGTCTGAATTTGGATCACGTGACACCCCCCCCGGAGGATGCCGCGACGGTCGGTAAGTGTGAAGAACGGTCATAAGCCTGGTTTTTCCTGCACCGTCGTAACTTTGAATGGTCGCTAAATGAACGGCTGTAAATCGAGGACGGCCTGCAAATGATCTGAAATGTTATTTTTGCTGATGTACACCTTTGTGGGTGAATTTTCCCCTAACACAGAAGGGGGTCTCCAACGTGGGCGCTTTTACGGCTTGTGGACTTCAACTCCCAGAATTCCTCAGCCAGCAGACAAGAGCTGTCGAATAAGTGGAGGACTTCCTGTAATATGCCCCTCTTCCGGAAATGCAGAATAATTGAACTGGAAGGGACCATGGAGGTCATCTAGTCCGGGGCTTTTCAACCAGGGGTACGGGTACCACCTGTGGTCCATGGACACCTGGCAGGGGGTACGCGACCATCCTAGAAAAGGGGTAGCAGGCGAGGGGAATGAGCTGAACTGGTGACAGCACCACACAAACCTGCGCGAGAGATGGCTGGAGCTGCAGGGCTGTCAGGGCTCAGCGGAAGCGCCAGGATCAGTGCCGCTTTCCAGCTGATCGGTGCTTCTTTGGGGCTGTCAGGGCTCAGTGGAAGTGCCAGGATCCAGCTGGAGCTCGGCGCTGATCCTGGTGCTTCTGCTGAGCCCGGAAGAAGCGCCGATCAGCTGGAATGTTGCAGCCTCTCCAGGGTCTTGTGATTTACATTCAGATGCTTGGCAACCGATTCATATCTATGACGGTCACAGTGTCCCAGGGTCATGGGAAGTGACCAAAACCTGCTGCAACCACCCAGCAGACGAGGGGGATAAAAACCAAACACCCCCCACCCCACCTCCGCTGCCAATCCTCAACAGAAATGCTCACAACAATGGAAACCTCGGACAGGAGGAAGAGCGCGGCCGGGTGGGCAGGCAGGCAGGTGTCTTGCTCGGCTGTGGCTGGGGGAGGCACTTTTTTCGGTGCCATTGTAACTTCGAACAGTCACTAAGCGAACTGTTGTAAGTCGAGGACTACCTGTACTTTATCCCTTTTTTTCCTTTTTTTTTTTTTTGGTCATCCAGGTTTTGACCCCTTGCTAGGCGACTGGTGGTCCTCGGATGTTGCCATATCCTAAAAGTGGTACAATGGGTGAAAAGGTTGAAAAGCCCTGGACTAGTCCACCCTGGGGAGGGGGGGGGGAATCAGTTGATTTGTGTTTTTTAGGAATTATCACCAAAAATCCCGCCTTTCCTGGCCCAAGAGAGGGAGCTCAAAAACTGGGGAAGGGGACAAAGACCCCCTGGCCAGGAGCGGCTGACAAGCTGAGGCAGGTGGCAGTTCTCAACCCCCCTGTTCCCCCCTCCCAGCTAGGCCAGACAGGAAACATAACCCAGTGAGCTACACAGTTCAGTCCTCGACTTACATCGGTCAGCGGGGAAGCCAGATTGACTTTGAACAATAGTTTGACTCACTTCACAACTGCAGCGGTTCATTTAACAATGGTGGCAAGAAACGTCGTAAAATGGGGCAGAACTCACTTAAGAACTGTCTTGCAGAAATTTGGGGGGGGGGTCAATTGTGGTCGTAAGTGGAGAACTACCTTTTTAAAACCTGCATGGTCGGCAAATAGAGTTCTCTCACCATCGTCTTTACAGGCAGTCCTCCACTTACGATCCGCCACTTAACGACTGTTCAGAGTTAGGATGGGCTTCCAGAAAGCTGCTTAATGACGCGTCCTCAAAGCTGCACTGCCACACACACACACACACACACACACTCATGTGATTGCCTTTCAGGCACTGGGCTGTGGGTTGCGGGCGGTGCTGTCTCTTCTCTAGCAGAACAGAAGGGCAGAGTTGATAGGGACCCCGAAGGTCATCTATTCCAACCACCCTTCACCATTCCACATGACCCCCGCTGTGACCGTCGTGAATGTGAATCAGTTGCCAAGCGTCCGGATTTTGATCACGTGACCGCAGGGGAATGCTGCAACGGTCAGAAGTGCAAAATGGTCAAAAGACACATTTTTCAGTGCCGTTGTAAATTCAAACAGCCGGTAAGTGAAGCGTTATAAGTCAAGGACTGCCTTTATCTGTGTTTGATTTCTTAAGAAAGTCAGCCTCTGGAGCATAAAACAGGGAAGGATTAACTATGGTTCTGGCTTAACCAGGACGAAGCTCATCTTTGGGGTCTTTAAATTATAATAATAATGATAATAAAGTTGGAAGGGACTTGGAGGTCATCTAGTCCAACCCACTGCTCAGGCAGGAAACCCTATACCATTTCAGACAGATGGCTGTCCAGTCTCTTCTTAAAAACTTCCAGTGTTGGAGCATTCACCGCTTCTGGAGGCAGGTAGTTCCATTGGTTAATTGTTCTGTCAGGAAGTTTCTCCTTAGTTCCAGGTTGCTTCTCTCCTTGGTTAGTTTCCATCCATTGCTTCTTGCCCTGCTCTCAGGTGCTTTGGAGAATAGCCTGACTCCCTCTTCTTTGGGGCAGCCCCTGAAGGTTGCTATCATGTCCCCCCTCTTCCTTCTCTTCATTAGACTGGGCATACCCAATTCCAGCAACCGTTCTTCGTATGTTTTAGCCTCCAGACCTCTGATCATCTTTGTTGCTCTTCTCTGCACTCTTTCTAGAGCAGGGGTAGGCAACCTTGGATCCCTCATGACTCAGTGGACTTCAATTCCCAGAATTCCTGAGCCAGCATGGCTCAGCTTGGAAACTGCCTTTCCCCTCAGCATGGCTGGCTCAGGAATTCTGGGAGTTGAAGTCCACGAGTCATGAGGGGGCCAAAGTTTCCCCCATGCTGGCTCAGGAATTCTGGGAGTTGAAGTCCGCAAGTCATGGCTATAGTTCCCCCATGCTGGCTCAGGAATTCTGGGAGTTGAAGTCCATGAGTCATGAAGGAGCCAAAGTTTCCCCTTGCTGGCTCAGGAATTCTGGGAGTTGAAGTCCACGAGTCATGAAGGGGCCAAAGTTTCCCCTTGCTGGCTCAGGAATTCTGGGAGTTGAAGTCCATGAGTCATGAAGGGGCCATAGTTCCCCCATGCTGCTCAGGAATTCTGGGAGTTGAAGTCCACGAGTCAACAGAGCCCAGGTTCCCCACCCCTGTTCTAGAGTCTGGCCCTCTTTTTTCCCCTAGGCCTCTTCCCCCCCCCCCTCCGTCTCCCAAGGTCTTCCCCACAGCCCACTGCAGTGGCAGAGCCGTTCGCTGCCCTTTGCCAAAGCCTCTGGGCATGTGCAGAGATGCCCAGAAAGGCCACTACTTCTGGGAGGGACCGAGGTCCCCTCTCCAGCCTCCCCCACCCGCCAGAACTGCCAGTCTGCCTTGATCGATGGCTGGCCAGCAAGCCTCGCGTGGCGTCTGCCCATTGATTCAGCTTGCCTGGAGGTCCGGCTCCTAATCGGATTAGGGAGGCAGGATGGAGGAGGAGAGGAGCAAGCGGGACGCGGAGGCTTGGGCAATGAGGGGAATTTATCATCTTCTGTGCCGTTTGCATGGGGTCCTTCACGGGCGGGAGCAGCTGTGGCTCGTGGGGCTGAGGGTGGGCGGAGGACCCACAGATCCATCATCCTTGCTTGGAGTTGGAGAAAGTTAGTTAGAGAGGCTGCGGACGTCTTCCCGTTCGCAGAATCGTAAGAGTTGGAAGGGACCTTGCAGGCTAATGAGTCAATGAATCCGAATAGGGCTGGAAGGGGCCTTGGAGGTCTTCTAGTCCAGCCCCCCGCTCAAGCAGGAGACCCTATAACATTTCAGACCAGCGGCTGTCCAGTCTCTTATTGAAAACTTCCAGTAATGGAGAAGAGAGGGAGGGAGGGGGAGAAGGAAGGAAGGAAAAAAGAAAAAAGAATAACAGAATAACAGTTGGAAGGGGCCTTGGAGGTCATCTAGTCCAGCCCCCTGCTCAAGCAGGAGACCCTGTCCCATTTCAGACAAAGGGTTGTCCAATCTCTTGAATTCCAGTAGTGGAGAAGGGAGGGAGGGAGGGAAAGAAAAGAAAAGAAAAGAAAGAAAGAAAGAAAGAAAGAAAGAAAGAAAGAAAGAAAGAAAGAAAGAAAGAAAGAAAGAAAGAAAAAGAATAGCAGAATAACAATTGGAAGGGGTCCTTGGAGGTCTTCTAGTCCAGCCCCTGCTCAAGCATACCATTTCAGACAAAGGGTTGTCCAGTCTCTTCATAAAAAACCTCCAGTGACGCAGCAGCTACAACCTCTGGAGGCAGGCAGTTCCACTGGTTAATTATTCTCACCGTGAGGAAGTTTCTCCTTTATTCCAGGCTGCTTCCCTCCTTGATGAGCTTCCATCTTCTCCTGCCCTCTGGTGCTTTGAAAAATAAGTTGACCGGGTGTTCCA